GCGTCGGTACGTTCGAGTCAACGTTGAGCGCACAACGCCATGTTTTTTAGCTATTTTAGACCAGGGGATTTGATCTTTAGATTCGAAAGTATCACACTCTTCAAGCGCTTCTTCTAAGCCCATTGCGTTGTATTGTTGTAAAGTTGAGACGATAGAGAGGTTTTGGTGGTTCGGCGCATTGCGCGAATCCGCGCATTCCGCGCACGGACACAGTAGGCCGGTCTGTGCTCCCCAGCCCCCTGGAAACAGCATGTGCATGCGGCAACGTCGACCTGGTCCACCAGATCCTGCACCTCGAGTCCGCCCAGACTTCTAAAGAAGCCTATGGCGCGACGAGCCGGCGATGCATTTCGCAGCAGATTCCGCAGCTGAGCGATTGGGTCGCGCTGTGCATCTCGATGCGAATGGGGCAGTGGGAGACGGGCAAAATCTTCCTGGATCGCTTCCATGCCGGACCGAATGTAAGATCGTGCGGACAGTTTGGCACGCAGCGATTACTCGAGGAAGCAGTAAAATATCCAGATAGGGGCTTTGTGCGCGAGATATTGGAGCAGCGGAAAAAGTACAGGGGGTGTCTGACTAAGAGTGAGATGCGGTATATCTACAGTATCGCCACGCCGTCTGTTCTGCGGTTCTTGATTGAGAATGAGTATATCGATCCGAATGTCTCGGGCGGAAACACTCCTCTGAGATGGGCTGTGTATCATCAACGCTACGACCTCGCGTGTATACTGCTCCAGTATGGCGCGCGTGTTGATGGCGTGCCGTTGGACGGGAAGCCGGTTACTGCTCTGTGTCATGCCGCCAGGACTGGATACTGCGGCACCAGTGACAGGCCCTTGCCAGGTGTCAGATTTCTTCTTGAGAATGGAGCCGACCCGGCCTTGGTAGGAGAGAAAGTACCGTGGCCGGATGCCGCATTTATATTACAAAAGGCCAGGGAATACGGGAACGAAGTGGCTTTGCGTCGTGAGACGTGGGAAGAATATCAGAGGTCAAAGTTGGGGAAAAAAGAGTCTGATTTGATAGACCTATCATAGAGCATCTCTGATTGTCTTGACTAGGAGTCAACTATACCCATGGAAGAATAATACCCCGTATCCCATAACAATCTTCGAGCCTAGCATACAAAAACGCCGCGTTCTCCATTTAGCATACAGTGGATATCAGAAACACAGCAAATCGTACAATGGTCCTTTAGTACTTCTCCTCCAATCTGGCAGTCATACCCGTCACTGTCACACGTCTGTTCTCTTCCTTCTCCAAGGCATGCAGCTCGCGCTCCAACTCCTTCTGTACCGTCGCATTTTGGACAAGAGTCAGCTGATCCAGAACCTTTGCGATTCCCTCCTCAGTCTGGCCATTGAACAGAGTTGCAAGATCTGACTTTGTAGCTACTGCGAGTTGGTCCTCTAACGCCTTTAGTGCCTTGTTATTAAGATCGGCGACGGCCTTCTTGAACTGTTCTTCTTCAGCCGCCTTCGCTCTCTTGGCCGCTTCCTTGGTTTCGTCAATACTGGCTTCCCCTGCCTTGCGCTTCGCAGCCTTCATAGCTTCTTTCTTCGCCTTAGCTGCTAGGTAGCGTGCCGAGTGCCCCAGTGTGCGTCCGTCCTTTGTGAGCGGCTGCTCGATATTGAGTGGAGGAGCGGTGAAGAAGAGCACGCGACCCTTCTCATCACATTGGAACTGCTCACGGATTTCAGGCGGTATGCTATTGTTCGCGTGATCGGCCATGACATAGACTTCGACGGGTTGCGGTGCCTTGTAGTTGGGGGGCATCTGCTGGAGGTACGGCTGTTGATAACCTGGAGTAGGTCGCGGCGTCTGGAAGGACTGCATAGGTGCTGTAGGTTGAGGCGTGAAGGGAACATGCGGTGTTATTGGTTGGTAAGCAGGTACCTGAGGTGCCTGATGGTGCATGTGCGGTGCGGGTGACTGAGAATGAGCATGATAGTGTGTCGCATGAGTAGGAGTGTATGCGGGAGGAACATGATGTTGCTGTGGTGTTGGTGCAGGCATTGGAGTGAGGGCAGGCGGCTGAGCTATAGGATAATTTCTTGATGCTTCGAAGCCATGTACCGAAGGAGTGGGCAAACTTGGCGTCGGCATCACGGGTGCAGGTGGTGGTGTTGGAGATGGCGGTGGAGTGGGTCTGGGAGGTGGCGAATCCTGGAATTATTGTGAGTGACAGTGTGTGGTTGAGTGATATTCCGGTCACTTACCTTTGGGTCGCGTGGGCGACGATGGACAGCGCCAATCTTCGGAGGCGCATTCTCAGCACCCCACTCTGGCTTTGGTAGATCGTCATCCTCTTTTTGGTCATCTTTAAGAAGGTATGCAATCGGACTCGGCACCTTTTTCAGCTTTCGCGGCGCATCGAACAAGTCCATAACGTAGTCCTTGTCTCGTACTTCATCAGGGAGGCAACTAGCCCAGGTCTTGATCTTGTTCAGCTTGTGATTTTCCTCGTTGTATCTGGCTTCGCAAACATAGATCTCTTTGTCCGAGGGGAAATCGCGTGGGCGGCCCTTGTTGTATCTTGTTGTGAACATGACGAAGCAGCGATCTACAACCTCATCAATGCGGTGGTCTCGATACTGGCCAGTCTTGACAACTTCGTTCTCGAAAAAGTGCTTATCGAAACGATGCACGGTTTGCTCAGGACGGTAGTACCAGCAGGCATTCACCCACTGGCCACCACTAGCGTCTTGCCACGTACGATAGATCTGAGCGACAATGGGTTTTGTGAGGTCGTTCGCGTTCTGAATATGGACCCAATCGCCAACCTTCCACAACTCTCCGTTATGGACGATGCCGCTGGGCATGGGTATACGTCCTTCTTCCATGACGTACTCAGTGTCTGGCTTCTCTTTCTCGGCTTTTGCGACCTTGCGTGCCTCCTTTTGAAGGTGCACAGCGTCTTTGTAAATTTGGCTATCCTCCTCGTTGTATTGCTTCGCGTTCTCAAACATAAGCTCCACGTCTACCATGAAGTGATCTACCGAGTTGTACTTCTTCCGCTTGAGCTTGCGCTTCAAGATGTCCATGGCCATAGGATTCTTGATCTCAGAGTGGTATTCGGGCATAACCGTCTTGTCGGGGACACGCTCGAATGCGCTTACCATGAGCTTGTTCTGCTGGTTGCGAGGTTTGCGGATGGCCTTCATGATGGCTTTGATTCGTGCCTCCATAGGCGTATCAACCCGCGGCGGACGTCCGCGTTTTTTCCGGGACTCTGGATCGTCGTTTTTGGCGTCCTCCTTTGCCGCTCTTGAGCCTCCTTCGCGCTTGGCGTTAGCTGCTGCGGACCGCGCAGGCCTTCTCCTTTTGCGCTTCCCATCATCCTCTTCGTCCTCGTCCTCGTCTTCTTCGTCAACTTCGAGCTCTTCCTCGTCATCTTCCTCCTCTTCCTCTTCTTCGTCTTCCGGTAGTAACGGATCTTGTTCCGGAATCTCACCCAGGAAAGGCAGAGTCGCAATATCCTCAGATACAATCTTGTCGTCAACAAGGCGCTTAAGCTCGCGTTCGATGACCTTCTTTACTTCGAGCGCATCGACATAGGCCTGAGAGTCCTGTCTGTTGTACACTTGCGCATTGTGGGGTATAAGAGCCAGGTCGCGGACGAACTCGGAAAAGTTATTGTACTCCTTCTGTCCGATCTTAGATTTGATTGTGCTAAGGGCCATGGGCTCTTTGATGATGTCGTAGTAGTCGGGCACGGCGCGCTTGTTCACTTTGCGCTGGAAGAGTTTTGTGGGATCATAGGTGCCACTGAGGATATGTCAGCAACAGCACATGAGCTCGTCCAGATCAATTACTGACTCGTCAATCCTGTAGTCATAGACGTTCTTCAGCAAGTTGGCCATGGCCTCCCATTCTTGCTCCGTCACAGTGGAAGTTGCCCCAGAAGATTCGGCCGTCTCGGTTGTGGGAACCGGGGTTGAGCTCGGCGCGCGTGCGGACGCCATTGCTGCGATGGAACACCTGGTGTTGTGGCGTTGCCCCGTCGTCTCCCTTCTTTGGTGTTGAGGTTGTCGCGTCGTGGATACAAAGTCGCGACTGGAGCGGAGCGGCGCCGGCTTTAAAATTATCCGAATATGCCTGTCGCACATCTCCGCCTCGGCCAACTCTTGGGTTCCCGAACATTCACTTGCGCCGTGCCACTTGTTCGCGCCAACTGTCGCTTCTAGCGAGTAATGCCGTAGCTGACAAACTACATATGTTCTCCTTACAATAACATTCACAGTGCCTGCTCCTGCGTGAAGAAACTTCTTTTCCATCCGCCTTCTACTCGCCCATCGCAACTTACTACCTGTGTCAACTGCATCGCTGCGTCCCGCCAAAGCGCCCCACTACTTCCACCACTCCACGCCGCCAGGGCTCTTACACTTATAACAGTTGTCCCCGCACAGCATATAGTCTTACGTATCTTTATCCTGCAATTATCAGTACCAACTTCTACCACCATGCCCATTCGCCTCCGATTACGAGCGCCCAACGGCACCCATACCCTCTCCCTCGACGATAATGCCGCCGTCTCCGACCTTCTATCATCTATCAGCGAAAAGACGGAACTCCCACTCTTCGAACTCAAATGGAACCACCCGCCCCAACCGCTCGACCCTTCACTATACGGAATGTCTACGCTGTTGAAAGACATTGACCTTAAACTTAATGGCGCCTCCATCATCGTCATTGGCAAAGCTACTGGCGATCCAAGTGAACGGAAAGCAGAACAAGAAGCCCAGTCTGCTACATCCCAGTCAGCACCCCTGTCGTTACAACGCAAGCAGAACTCAGCACTCAAAGACACTCCCGAAGTCCCTGTACCCGAACGCGCTGGGACCATTGTCCTGAGAGTGATGCCGGATGATAACTCGTGCATGTTCAGAGCTCTTGGAAGTGCCGTTCTCTCTGACTCGCTGGATTCAATGACCGAGCTTAGGTCGATGGTCGCGCAAGCTATACAAAGAGACCCCGAACAGTACAACGAAGCAATCTTGCAACGGTCTCCCGACGAGTACTGCAAATGGATATCATACTCTGATTCGTGGGGTGGTGGAATCGAGCTGAGCATCCTCTCTCAAGAATTTGACATCGAGATAGCCAGTGTCAACGTGCAGGACAACCGCGTAGATCGCTTTAACGAGGGCCGGCCGCGCCGCTGTATCCTTGTGTATTCCGGTATTCATTACGACACTATCGCTCTGGTTCCGCGTGGTGTTTCGCCCCAAGACCCTTCCCAAGACATCAAGCTTTTTGATGCGAACGACGATGTCGTCCTTGAAGCTGCACGGGAACTGTGTCGCCAACTGCAAAAGCAACATTACTACACCGATACGCAGAAATTCGACATCAAGTGCAACACGTGTGGCTGGAAGGGAGCTGGAGAACGAGGAGCGATCCAGCATGCGACGGAAACAGGACATAGTGATTTTGGTGAGGCAAACTAAGTGTCCACTACCACCGAATCCCAAAGGGTTGTATTTGGCATTTTTATCGCTGCTAGAACGGTATAGATTGTGAATCATATAGAATTTTCTCATGTAGTGTGGTAATTCAACTCCCAATAGTGGTTTTCAGGGGTGAAACTAATTTATCAAGGACCATTGCATTTTCAATTGCTGTACATGTTGCACAATGGCATTGAGAGGGATTTTCCATGCTTGTTTAAAGGATCATTTCTTTGCATGTACTTCCGTAAAGTTCCATCATTGCTATGTTCATAGTTGGATGTTTGTTTACTATCGCTCCTTCTTCCGTTGACTGTTGACTGCGACGTAACGGACCACCTTACTCCAACACTTCTTGTGGATCTGAGCCACTTCACCTCGCTTATTGCTCGAGCTTTTTCGCTCTTCGCTGACTTTCATGCTGATTCTGACTTCACTTCTCACTAAGCCACGATGACTGGTCATCACTTTCACATCCGTGTCGTGCTAGCGCCTCACTATGTTCTCTTATCTTGGGAAACGACATGCTCCCCAACTCCACTCATCGTCAAGCAAACTCTTGCTCTATTTGGAAAATCTTACATTGAAAGAAATTACATCCGTTCTTGCCAGTGTATGTATCGTTGGGGCTTTACCAAAAGCAAGAGATGGTCTTCTCGTACTGACACTACACTGCAGCGTTCCCAGTTCAAAATGTCAGAGACATCAGAGACGCCGAAGGCAAAGCGTGCACGAGCCATGGCCGACCAGAGAACCGATAAAGAACTACCATTGTAAGTGATGCGCACCCAAAGAAGATCGACCAAACAAACATTTACTAAGGCTTGCAGCATCATGGGGGAAACCATCCCTGTATCGATTCAAGGTGGCCAGATTCATGTGCATACTGAGGTCCTTACATCTACCTCCGACTTTCTTAAGAATGCCATGAAGCCAGAATGGCGTGCCGACAAGAACTGTCCAATTGATCTGTCTGGAGAGGACCCCAAAGTCGTCGAGTCATACTGCCAATGGCTTTACTCAGGCAAAATTGTTCGGCATGGCAACTCTAAGTCCATCTCCAAATCCATGTGTCGACTTTTTGTCCTTGGCGAGAGTTTGATGGACCGACCGTTTAAGAACGCAGTCCTGGACTCCATGATGGATGGAATTCATAGTAAACCTAAATTTCATGCCACGAGGGAAGGTGTCAAGATCATTTATGAAGGTACTCCCAAAGGCTCACCAGCGCGCCGCCTCCTAGTTGATATGTGGGCATACCTCATGACTGCTCGTCGCAACCTTGATAATCTTGTCTCCCTTCGAGGAACGGATTTCTTTGAGGAATTGATACCAGCTTTGATTGCTGTGCGTTCAGTGCCACATCATGAAAAGGTTCGACCCTGGGTTGCTAAGCCTGAGTCCTACTATGAGGGAGCAGTTGCCGATGGAATCAATATCGTAACTGATCCAACGGGAAGTACCTAAGAAGAAACAGAAAACGTCTTGAAATTGATGGCGCTTTCATCTACAGACACATGTACATGTATACGAACGCACGCAGTCCTGTCGAAGGAAAAGAAGGGAAAGTCATGTCACCACAAAGCCATGAATTTATCTCCCAGTAGTTACCATAATATCACAAAATGAGTCTTCCTTGCGCTCTCTACAGAACCCTCGATCGCTCAAGTGGTCTTCGGCGCCGCTAAATAACAAGGAGCTAATTGACGGCGATGGCAAAACAAGCAATATTACGGCTAACAAAGAAGCAATTTTTATCAGACGCTCATCTTCTTGAGGCGCAATTACCACTTGGTCATGACGGACTCATGACAGCCTTACGAACCCGCAAGTATGGGAGTGCCGAAGGCCCACAGTACAAACTGAGCTCGTGCCACTGGTAGTTCGAGTCATTCTAGGGCCAGCTTCACGTGCGTCGAACTACTTAAGAGGTCTTCAGCTCAAGTCTAGCGTGTTCGATAGAGACGTTGTCTAACACTATACATCAACTTTAGTAATACTTTATCGCGCCCTGCCTACTAGTGGATGAACAATGCTTGCGACTAAATACAATGTTTGCTAAGTGTTTCAGTTTGTTTGCTTTAGAGACTGCTGGAATTTTCACAAAGACACCATAAGGGAAACTAGTCTTACTTAACTTTCTTTTTCTATCCCTTAGTGTATTATAGATAAGTATATATATATAGATAATCGTAATATCTATTATATCTATTATACTTAAATCTAGGTTGAGACTTTTACATAATATACACTTTTAGCGTTTTATAAATAGTAAGTATACTAGTAACGCTGTCTATACTAAAAATCTAACTAATTAGTAAAAAGAATTAATTAGATTATTACACGGGGTCTGGAGTGCTAATACTTCTCTAGCTCGATCCAGGTTAGGGCGAGTAGGATTTAGATTAGCGCCGTGAGAGTTGCCTAGCGATTCTTACTAGAAAAGAGTGTTACAAGTAACAAGAAGGATTCTCTCCTTGACAAGTGACGAGATGGCTGAAGGCCTATGGACGTCCACGTCAGAAGGTAATGATCATCGCGGGGCTAGGTCACGTGATGTGCCATCCCGCCAAGAGCAACCATCCAAGGGATGG